ATACATACACACACACACATAATATATATATATATATACATATATATATATATGCATGCGTATGTTTGGGACGAGATAATACAATATACGTAATGTTGAGCCAGGCGTTGAGAGTATTTGTTTCTAGGGTTATGCGTTCGCATGAAGCAGCAGGTAGCAGTTGGCAAACTATATACTTCCTATCTTTTGTACTCGACGGATCTTGAACTTTCAGACAGTAGCTGGAGATGGAGGGCGGTTTGTTCTGTCTCGCATTCGGACCTCGAAAGAAGTTCGAGGGCTGTGTAGGCATGATGAATTCGATGAATTCCCATACTTGCTTGGAGGATCATGGGACTTAGTAAGTATGGATATAAGTGCCTTAATTAATTGGGGGTTATAAGTAGTTATAAGTATAGTTACCCTAATAATCTTAGTTACTAAGTCCCATGATCCTTTAAGTAGTCTTGAGAGAGCTTCTATGCTAGCTGAATCAGGGATCTCCAATGATCAGGAGATTTGAAGCACCGGCGACACAAAGCATTCACAGTTTAGGCTTTAGAGTGTAGGTTTCCGGTTTGAAGGCAGGTTGATTCATCGGACATACTGTTGGCTCCCAAGGAAAGAGACATACTGTTGGCTCCCAAGGAAAGAGTTGCACATGGAAGGACCTTGCCGCCTTTCAGCGCCTGGCCTTAAGACCCTGAAGCCCAGTCAGGTTCAGCCGCAAATGCGGAAAGAAACCCCTAAATCAATCTGTGGATTCCACTGCCCAAACCTGAACCAAACAAACCCAAGACCCTGACTCTAAGCTGTTTATGTTCCTTCTGGGCCGGGCTACATTTTGGCACCGAACTCATAGGATTGAAGGCTCATTACGAAGTCAAAAACACACTCGTCCTCGCCTTTCCTCCAGGGTACAGGCAGACGCTGACAGAAACACCCAGGCCGTGCTACATCTTAGCACCCAACTCACCCTACTGTTGAAGGCTCAGCTGAAAGTCGAACACAAACTCCTCCTGGCCATTCCTCCAGTATTGAAACTACAGGGTAAGCCCCACCTAGACCCATAAATGTAGTACCTTTTTTTGGATAACCTATATTTTATGGTTAGGATCCTATAATCAGAAACTGAGATAACCCAAAAGAGGTACTACATGTAAGTTTGTCTAGGTAGCCGAAGCTGCTGAAAACGCCCTCAGCAGTGAATACCATCAATTCTTCGGGCTCCCCATTCTGTTTATAAGCTATATAAACATGTAGTAATATAGTCTAAGCCAGTCTATTATGTAGTGTGGTTGTTCCATGAGATTCAGTTCAAGAGCTGCAGTGGAAGACGTTTGGCGCCAAACTCAAGCTCGAACCGTCTGTAGGGCAAGCCCTCCCTGGACCCAAAAAGTATGTAGAATAATAGCCCTTTATAGTTGTTGTGCCATTGTTCTTTACCTAATCTTGCGGGGGGGTGTACTTTTGGGGGTTTAGGACCTGGATACATGTTGGCACCAAGGGACGAAAGAACATCAAATTCGTCCTGGCCTTTCCTCTAGGACTGCCGCTGTAAACTGTCAGGGCTTCGCTTACAGGGTTTAGGGTTTAGTGTCGGGTTTGGGCGTTAGAAGGTCTAAAGTGCAACGGCTTCAGGGGCTTACGAGTGTAAGGGCTTTGGAACCCAGAAACCAGGAATGAAACCGAAACCCTAAGGCCTAGACTCGAATCATAAGCTGGCAAAGACTGAGACCCGAAAGTACCTCCAGCCCAAAGCCCTCAAAACTTCAACTCAAAGCTCCCAAATCCCCAAACCCTAAACCCCAAACCCTAAACCCTAAACCCGAAACCCTAAACCCTAAACCCTAAACCCTAAACCCACCCTGATTCAACCCTTGGTCCCTGCTCAACGGAAATCCCATGCCTGGCACATATCCGGCATGACTGCAAGCCTTCTTCACCAAGTTGCTGGACTAAGTCTTCCTCAGCAATTCATCAATCTGCACACCCTAAACCCTAAAACCCCTAAACCCTAAAACCCTAAAGCCCTAAAGCCCTAACACCCTAAAACCCTAAACCCTAAACCCTGAAACCTAAAACCCCTAAGCCCTAAACCCCTTAACCCTAATTATCTTTCTACACCATACAGAAAAAGTACATACCAGGCTCCATGGGCTTTTCTGATAGGGTCAGTAAGCCTTTTCTGCGGGATAAGACTCTATAGAAGAAAAAACATCTTATGGGAACCCATGCATACTGTTACTGACTAGACTGACCTTTATGATAAAGACTGCTCCTGAGTGTCTACTTCGGAGTTTAGGACCACGGGGCTCTCAACAAGATACAGGATTTGTAATACCAGTATCCTAACAGCAAGACCCCAAACATACCCTCGTCTACATGCGCTCCCCAGAACCCAAAGTACTGACAGCCCTACTCTTTTGTGTACCAAGAAGATAATGAGTCTATTCTCAATACACAGCATACTTACATTATGTCAAAAGAGTCCAAACCGACATGTAAAGAGAGGAAGGCCACACGAAAAAGGGCAGACGCACAGTTTTGGAGCCCTAGTTTCGAAGGCGCTCCGATACTCCCGGATGTCGCTCTCCTTCTGTTGCTCATTGTCGGAACTTCGGGGCCGTTTGGCCTCCCTCTCACGTTGGCTGGCGCTCTCACGCGCGGCCTCCGCGAAAAACCAAAAGAGAGTTTTGGGGTTTAGGGTTTAGCTAACCCCGATGACCATCACGTGCCCACACTCAGTCTTAAGCACTTGCGCTAGCATACAATCCTTCCTCATTCCTCTAAGTCTAGATGAACCGTAACCTTTTTATTGCTATCCTGGCCCTATACCGCCTATACCGACTTCCAAACGTATTCGACAAGTCCCCATAGACCCAAATGAAGGAAAGTAGAACAAATCCCAATTGCCTACCTAGATTCCTATGGCTGCAACACTAAACCGTCTACCTTATTCCCGAAAACCGTCAACTCAAATCCTTTAAACCCAAAGGCCCTAAAGCCCTAAATGATAAACCCCAAAGAGCTACCCAACACAACGGCATCACCGAGACGCCTTCGTCAGCTGCGCAAGCTGCATTCGCATGCTGGGCTTCCAAATAGCCGTAAGCCTGAAAAGATTTCCTACACAGAAACTTGGGATAGTGCTACTGAATTTCTGGTAGGGTTTCATAAGGCCTTCTACAAGGGGTACTATATTTCTGTTAGGGTTTCTACAAGGGGTTCCCTTTGCTAAATCGTGAAGCCCTTCGAGCCTCTGCGATTCGGGGCCCATCTTGCAACCATATTAGGGTTTAGGGTTTAGGGTTTAGGGTTTAGGGTTTAGGGTTTAGGGTTTAGGGTTTCGGGGGATTTCAGCTCCAGAGCAATGGTCCTGCCCTCAAGGTAAAGTATAAGGGATCCTGGCACAATCCCGCTAAACCCATGTTCCAACTTTCGGGTTTAGGGTTTAGGGTTTAGGGTTTAGGGTTTGGGATTCGCCGTAGAACCGGAACCCTAAACCCTAAACCCTGAGCCCTAAACCCTAAACCATGTACGAGCAGCTCCAGGACGTCAGGGTCACCTGCCCGAGAAGCGATCAGCTCTATGAGGGAATCGGAGAAAAGCTCCTCGTGAAAGAAATTTGGGTGTTAGGTTTCAGGGTTTGGGGAATAGGGGGATATGGCTGTTATTGCTTACGTAGACCTGTGTACTTAAACCCTAAACCAGTCTCAAACCGTGAAGCTTCTTTGGCGCTGCTCAGCGCCTCGCGATCATGCAGCAAGCAGACCGTCATGGAATCCAGCGGCGACTGGGTGATGAGGCGACTTTTGAGGTCGGAGACTCTTCCGGAGACCTTAGTTGCTGAGTTCATAGCCCCCCTCCCCAAAAAAAAGGTGTACACTTTCAGTTCCAAAACGGAGAATATGATCACAATAAAAGCTATAAACTATGTTGGGGTTTAGGGGTTTAGGGTTTAGGGGTTTAGGGTTTAGGGGTTTAGGGGTTTAGGGGTTTAGGGGTTTAGGGTTTAGGGGTTTAGGGTTTGATTCAGGCAAGGAAACATCTTCTGGACCACACAGAACCTTGCCATCCAAGCCGGTCACACGAAGTACCACCATGGTTGGGACGGCGACAGAGTTGCAAGTTCCCCCTGCTCCGATTTATGGAGGCCCTAAACCACCTCAGACCCTTCCTTTAATACTGGCTTGTAGAGCTCCTACCACATCCTAACAGGTTCGTGCACCACGACCCTCATGGACCTATGGACCAAAAGAGACTATCAGGGGACCCTAAACCCTAAACCCTTTAACCCTAAACCCTAAACCCCTAAACACTAAACCCTAAACTATCAGGGCTGAAGTTCGAGGAGATCTAGTGTCATGAGCTCAAGTCACGGCCTTGAGCAACAAACGCCGCAGAGCAGCAGAAACCCTAAACCCTGAACTCAAAACCCTAAAACCCTAAAAACCCTAAAAACCCTAAACCCTAAAGACCCTAAAGACCCTAAACCCCTAAA